ATATATTTATATATATGTATATTTTCTGAGCTAAAGCCATCAAACTTCAAAATAACGAATGGTATACTGTATTAAACTTAAGGCGCCTGAACACGAAGCCTTATACATGATAGGCCAAACATATGTTTATATTCTGGGCCAAAACTAAACACGACTTAAACACGACTGAAAGCGTATGTGCTACGTTCTAATTAGTACAGATAAAGCATTCGCAATAATAATAAATATTTAGGATACTAAGGTTGAGGATGCCCTTTAAAGCTTATGTGCCACGTTCTAATTAATACAGATGAAGCATACGCAATAATAATAATGATAAAGTTGAGTATGCACCTGCTGAAGGTATCAATGTTAATGCATATTAGTAAAGGTGTCGGTGCATAGGAATTTGCAAGACAGAAGAGCCCAAATAACGACAGAAGGATAAGTCTGAATATGACAATAAATCCAGATAAAGGCTTTGAACAACAATAGTGAATGTCTAGGGTGAATACATTATTAGTGAATGTCGGTCAAGGTTTCGATGTATAATATCGAATGCAGTTGCATACATGTTGTTTACGAATATTACGGTATTATGTATATTAATTCACAATATAGATAAAACAACACAAAACCAGCGGCTACTTCAACAGCACACTCATCTGTCGACACCTTCCATTAGGCTCCAAGTAACAACCGGCAGCACCATCAGTTTCAAAGAAAGTACTTATGAGACAAACATCTTACAAAGAACTTATGGAACAACATGTGCACAAAACTGTGACAAGACTCTAAAAGATGAACTCACAAGGTACATATGGGATAACAGTTATTTTCCAGTGGACTAACAAGGCCCATATGAGATAGAAATTCTAATCAAGTAGACTAACAAAGCTATCCAGTGAACTAAAAAGGCAAACATGGGATAACAATTCTATTCAAGTATACTAACAACGCTATCCAGTGAACTAACAAGGCACCAACGGGACGAAAACTCGGGCGAAGAACCTATAGTACAAGACTCTACACTGTACCAAGAGTTCATAAATTGCGGACTGAGGCCAGAGAACCGATTAGGAATGAGGGTGAACTGACCGTGTACACCGCGTGACCAATCTCAGGCGCAGTGCATTCAGACAACAACAGCGATGTTTGCCAAAGACACGCTAACATGGGTGACAGCCGTGTTTACAAAAGACACACTAACACGAGTGAGGACATGATCAGAGATTATAAACAGAAGCCAATTCACACACACAATCGGAACCCCTTGGGCAGAACTTCAATTGAAACTAGTTGAGTTGAAGTTCTCTTTAAACTAGTTTAGTTGAAGGTTTAAACAGTTCTCTTTAAACTAGTTTAGTTGAAGGTTTAAACTAGTTTAGTTGACGTTTTCTTAAAACTAGTTTAGTTAAGTTGTCTCAAAATTAGTTTAGTTATGATCTCTTAAACTAGTTTAAGCGGTATTTTAGTTGAAGTGATTTAAAAGTTCACAGATATTGACAATCTCTAGATAAACCTCCGTGCATCACAGATCCTCAACAAACAAATACCCTCCTGAGACAGAACAGTCACGCAGACCAGCGATATAAGAATTGCACACAAAACCACTGCCTGCAACAGAACACGCAAAAGCGTATTCCACATCACAAATGAACACACACCAATGAGAGGCCGTGTCAGGTGACTGTGTGAACCACATCAATACCACAGTGAACTTTATTGCAATGATATTGTGTACGTGTATACATACAATAAACCACACCCAAGTCCACCATATGACACAGCGAAGTCGTAACAATAGCATAGCGCAGTCCCTGACGCCAAACTAAAGCTCACCCCACCTTGTTGTGGCACACCCAAAAATACCCCGATTATATGTCTATAGGTATCTGACCACACATGTGGCAACCCAATTATATGTCTATAAATATCTGACCACACATGTAACAACCGAACATGCACAGCATAGTGTACACACAAACACGCAAAAAACGTATGGGAGTGAACACACACCGATGGGAGGTCGTGGCAGTTGACTGTGTTCAGGGCATCGTCTATCTCCGCTTCGTTGACGTCGACGGGAATGGTATTGGCTTCTTCGGTGATCTGTATAGGCTCAGTGCCCTGTGTTGTAATCCACGGGTGGTTCTGTGATGGATCGAGAAAGGAAGTACAAGTACCAGAGATATAAGATACTTGTATGGTATGTCCGTGTATGTCATAAACATGAGTCACATAGGTAGTATGTGCGTGTATTGATATATGTACTTCTTCGGTGATCTGGATAGGCTCAGTGCCTGTGTTGTAATCCACGAGTAGTTCGGTGATGGAAGGAGAATAGAAGTACAAGTGGCAGAGACATTAGACACCTATGTGGTATGCACGTGTATATTATATACGTGAGACACATAGGTAGTATGTGTGTGTATTGGTATAGGTCTTTCATCGGTGATCTGGATAGGCTCAGTGTCCTGTGTTGTACTTCATGGGTGGTTCTGTGACAGAAAAAGGTTAAAAATACCTACAGGAGATATTATGTTGTCTGAGGGAGTAATGACATAAGCATCACCTATAAAATTGAGAAACGAGTATTGGCATACATAATAGCAATATATAAACATTTACAAGCAGTGTCACCGACCACGTGCTACAGTACACATTCGTCCCAGCTTTGATGGAGAAAACGTAGTCAATAGTCGAAAATGCGTAACCGTATTGCAGGATCTGAAGTAAACGTATTATTGTTGAGGAAAAAGCGTGAAACAATTGCTGAAATAAGAGAGAAAAACATTTTAGAATTCGAAACACATATTCACTTTGATCTTCCGTAAAGTGCGTCACTCCGCCGAGACTTTTCCGGCATACGATTAGCTAGTATCTCAAACTCTATTCATGAATATATATATATATATATATAAACATTGTTTGGAAATATGTACACATGCGTAATTACACAAATCAAGGTATATCTACAAATATGACAACATGCTTACCCTGACCTCCCGCATAGTGAGTCGCTCCGCCGGGCTTTTTCGCAGCATGCCTTTGAGTAAATCTACCAGATTACTGTCTAGTTGTCCATAGTCAGGTTCTGCCTGCTGTATGTTATCGTGAAGATCCAGTATGTTGGCGCCGGTAAAGGGTACTTTGCCAAACATGAAACAGTACAGCGTCACGCCCATAGCCCAGATATCAATCGGTCTACCCGAGTATGTGTTGACGTCCTCTGTCGGTAGGAAAATATGAGGATAAGCTTTCAGTCTATATATGGAAATAGTTTGCGGGGTATATACTACATGAGTATACAAGTGATGCCTCTCCCGCAATTGTTTTTATCCATACAAATATGCATACCCCATACCATCTCAGTACACATACATACATACATATACGTCGCCTGCTACACACGTTTCCTTACACATGCAGGCATCTCCCATACCATGTAAGCATTCCGGTGCCAAGAACGCCGGGCTTCCGGCCGATTTGTTGAGCAGATCACTAGTACTGGTGCACGAGTGCGACACTCCAAAGTCCGCGATATGAAGATCATAGTTTGAGTCGAGCAGTAGGTTCTGTGGTTTGATGTCTCGGTGTATGACTTTGTTCGCATGTACTGTGGGGCGGAGAGAGGGGAGAGAGAGTGTGTGTGATACACATGAGAGTGTGTGATACACATGAGATGGAGGTCCTAGGGAGCGGAGGTCACTGTGTATGTATTTAATAATACAAGCATAAGAGTACACACAAAACTATGAAAAATCAGCTGTGTAAATTAATGCACACATATATAGACAGACACTAGAGAACACGCACATAGATACGCATAATGGTACACCAACATATGTTTCAAGTAGTCGCAGATAATACATGTGTAATCAGTACCAAACTTCGCCATTGCACCTCAATATCTCAAATTCAAAGTCGATTTCTCTATGTTTATTTAGTATTTTAAAATCAGGGCTTGTGAGCAAACGTGATACTCGGTGCATGCAAGGCATAGTATACTCGCGCATGTTAGGTGGCATAAGGTAAGTCAAAATACTAATTTCTCCCGCATAATATTGTATTATATGTGATACATAAATATACATATATATGATATATGATATATG